TATGATTTTGGAAAACTGCAAGAGAAGGAAGACCACCTTGAATGTAGGTTGGATTGATTACAAGAAGGCATTCAACTCTGTCACATGACTGGATAATCAAGTGCCTAGAAATAACAGCAGTCAGTAGAAACATCAGAAGCTTTGTGCAAAGATCAATGGCACAACGGAAGACACAAATGCTGGTCAATGGTAATAGAGTTTAATATCAAGAGAGGAATCTTTCAAGGAGACTCACTATCACCACTACTGTCTGTCATTGCACTGATTCTTCTGTCAACAATACTGAACAATCAGGCCATGGCTATCAAACATCAAAAACATCTGCCAGGTTATCCTACCTCCTTTATATGGACGATCTGAAGCTGTATGTAAAACATCATCAGAAATAGGATCATTGCTCAATACTGTTCAAATATACAACCAAGATATTGCAGTGGAGTTTGGACTGGATGAATGTGCCACCCTTACCATAAATACTTTAACTTTTCTAAGTAGAACAGATGGAACAGCTTCCAGGTTCATGGAATTCAGTTTTGACTGTAGTTTCTCTTCTACAGAAATGTAACATCTTACAAGAAACTGACAAATACAGTGGATGGTAAAATATTAACAGCAACGTTAGCTAGGAGATTACAGAAAGTCATATCAACAAGAGAAAAATAGTGAAAATTGAAGGAATCAAGATGCCCTATGAAAATAACATCAAGAGTCTGGACGAAGAAGATCACTACAAATACCTGGGCATCCTTCAAGCTGACAACATCAAGCACACTAAAGTCAAGAAGGTTAGTAGTGAATAGATCAGAAGAGTGAAGAAGATCTTAAAGTCCAAACTCAGTGGAGGAAATACCATCAAGGCAATTAACACCTGGGCAGTCCAGGCATTAGATATACAGCTGGAATAGTGGACTGGACTCAATTGAACTAAAAGCCCTGGATAGGAAAACCAGAAAAATAATGACAATGAATCATGCCCTTCATCCACACAGCGACATTAACAGACTCTAGTTACCAAGGAGCATAGGTGGGCGTGGAACGTTACAAGTACACCAGACAGTTGAAGAAGAAAAACGGCATTGGAAGAATATCTGAAGGACAGTAAAGAAGATGCATTGAAGCTAGTATACCGTGAAGGCTTACTGAATACCAAAGAAACCAAAATAGCCTGTAAGAAAGACCAAATGAAGAAGAGACACGGCAAGGCAAAGTAATACATGATCAGTACACACACACACTCACACACAAACTAGCAGGCAAAGCAGATAACCTGGCAATGGCTAAGAGCAGGAAAGTTGAAGAAAGAGACAGA